CGCCGCTGCCTTCCCCCTCCGGCAGGCCCCACGGCCCAGTCGCATCCTGCCTGCGTCGTGCAAGGGGTAACTAAAAGGGCCTACCCCCACAAACAGGCTGCTTGGCTAGTTAAGAAATAAGCATAGAGGGGGTTTCTTTCGTCCCAGCATCACCCCTTAAAAAAACTCCTGAAGCATGGCTCTTACATGTCCACATTCTCGCTTTTATTTATACATAGGACTTTTAACCAGCTACTTATTTTTTCCCCTTACAGAGCCACTTACAGAAACCTGATTAATCCTAACATGCCTCTGCATCCCCCTCAATGAGCAGCATTTAGACTGCTGTCTGGCCTATGTGTACACAGAAGATCCGTGTAGTAGCACTGTGGTGCACTGCAGTGGTATTTTTACTTGCCTTTCTGTTTTCTGTTGCTTAGCAAGCTAAAGGAAGTGTCCTTACAGAGAGCCTTCTAAAAAAGACTCCTCCTTCCTACAGGTCCTTTAATGCTAGTTGCAGTGGCTTCTCAGGCTGCAGCAGTAAACTGAAGTACAAGGAAAAGATACCTTGTCTGTCAGTTTACTGCTACAGCCATAGAATTGTACCTACCTTTTTTCTCTTGGTTGGTTACTTACAGAAGTAGAATGCCTCTCCAAGCTTGAAAATAGGAGTCAGAAATATGAACCAAGAACTACGGTCGGTATAAAAGTGATCCAGGAAGTTACTATAACAGAGGTATCACAAACAGGTGGGGGTTTTTTTCCCTGCTGTAGTCACATATGCCTTTACTGCTCCTTCTACACTGCATTCGCTTGCTAGTCCCAGCTGTGAAACACAACTCTTTCAAAAGAAATGGAGGGATTGCTTCAGGTGATACTAAACAGTTACATGCCACCTGCAAGCAGTTAACTCTTTGATTTCCTATTAACTTAAATAGTTGTCCTCTTAAATTACCGTAGAGGATTTTTTCCAGCTTTCTTCTACAGGAAAATAGAACGTAAGGAAAGTTTTCTCTATATTTCCTAAACCAGACCTATTCACCGCTTTTTCTCTCACATGTATTCACTGAACTGTTGCTCCGAGCAGCGTCATTTGTTAATGATGTGGAAGGATACAATAGGAGAGAAAAGCGAGATAGGGCTTCCCAGAATTCATGTTGTTTTCTGACATTGCCCTCTTTCACGTTCAAGTTGCTACCTTAAACGGGCTTCTGTTCAGCTTAGAGGAACCTCAGGCATGCCATTTTTATGGGAGTGCAACAGCTCAAACCCTTAAAATGGAATTCTGTGGTCTCTGCAGAGCTTTCTGTCCCTTGCTTATGCCCACGCTAATGCTTGTGCAGAGACATATCAAGTTCATTCAGGGAACTGACTTGTCTGAGTGAGTATATTTGGTAATGATGATCTTCACCATAATGAACTCCCTGAATTAACTCATGCAGTCACACAAGCATTATCACCACTGCAAAAGAGAAGAGCTGGGACTACAGCAGACTGGATGTACATCAGCTTGAGATATCGGGGAAACAAGCTCACAGGCCCCTTCGTTTATCTTGTGTAATGCCTAGAAACACTAAAAAACAGAAGACGGTTGCTTTGACTCTGTGCACTCTGATACGAAGCCAATTATCAGTAGTCCTAGGCTGCCAGGTACAAACTTCAAAGAGCAAACTGGAAATTTCAACCCAAAATATATAGATGTATAAATAGCAAATGCTCCTTGCAATAATTTACAGTTCACAAGTATGTATGTAAGTTTCAAAAGCACAAAAAGTACAATAATTTACAGTTCACAAGTACGTATGTAAGTTTCAAAAGTTTGCTGAATAACCAAGACAGAGCTCCCCACATTAATGTTTCACTTGCATTGAGAATAGGCTGGAGTCCATCCAGAGCGTAAAAATTGGGAGAAATGCAAGCTGCACAACTACAAAGTTTAAAATAAGCTTAAACAGAAGATTAAAAAAAGAAGCTGGCTGTTTTGAGGAAAGAAAAAGGAATAGGCAGGTCTTCAAACTGCTGGGATGTTGAATTCTAGAGGATAATGGCCAAAAGGTGGAGTACTGCTGTACAAGTTGCTCTTTCACATTTCAGTAGCTGCACCATGTCTTAAGAGTTCAAGAGAACCAAAGACACTCAGAATTTTGTTAACTAGCATCTAGAATTGTTTTAGACTCTCTCCTGCCATAATACTGCTTCGCTAGAATTAAATCTTAACTACAAAACTGAAAACATAATGGAAATTTGTTGTTTTCCCTTTTAAGCTTGTCTGCCATAAAAAGTCCAGAAAGAGAAAATAAATAATCTTCCCTACCACCTTCCCTCCTGCTAATCCAGAATGAGGGACATAGTCTTTCAGTGCTCACCAGGTGATTATAATTGATATAATTTTTACCTGCTCTAAGTTATGATTTAAGTTCTGAAAGTAATTACTCACTTGCCTTGGAACTCTGAAGCTTCTCTGGTTGGTTTTTTTGTTCGTTTTCTTTAAATAAACACCAGGCTTCTCTGTTTTACTATTCTCTATTAACAATTCATGGTTTAGTGCTACAGTAACAATGCCAATAGTAAATGATAGTGAAAACCTTGCAGACACTATCACCCACAACCCAGTTTCTCACGTCAACGTTGAATTTATCCAATTTAATAACTAAATTGGTGAGCACGTATAGCCACAGTTACAGAAGCGTGGCTCTGACCTTAACTCATGCATACATTTTTTTACATTACTTCCTTTTCCTATCATAGTGCGCAAATGCACGTACAAAAGCTCTTGACAGAACTCAGCAGTGAATTAATTTACAAGACAGTAAAAATGGCTTATGTTGTTACTGTTAGCATGTTATTTTCAGTCTTCAGGGTTTAGCAAAATTAAGATCATGCAAAAGCAGTCTCATTGTTTTCTAATGGTTTTGGACGTGTGTTCTCCTTGCAAAAAATAACTAGGTTCTTTAACTGTCAAAAATATTAAAATTTCCAGTCCCAAAGCAGTGTTCCCAGAGAAATAGATGAATGAACATGCATTTAAAAAGGAAGCACGAACAGAGCATACTTGGAACATACTTAGAAAGTTCTGATCTTCCAAAGTAAAAAGTGTATAGAGAATAAAAGCGGGTATCTATTTGTGAACTGCATTTCTTAAAAGTGCATTTCTTCTTCTCAGGCATCTCCTCAGGACAGGTGCTGTTTGTAGGACAGTACTGGAGACACTGGCAGAACTGGTGATATTGGAGTTGTAGTCAACACCTGATTCTGGAACACAAACATTTTAATCCTACCAAACACCCAAAGAAAGATAAAGAGAATGCTGACATACTGGATCCAGGCAAATTTAATAATTTCCCAAAATCCTGGCTGATATTTAAAGAAAGTCAAGGAGTGTTAATGAAGAAGCTTCTGATACTATTACTGCAATAACAAAACAAAGGAACTCTGAGGTAGACAGGCACAAAACTCATTAAGACATCAGTTTGTGTGGCAAATGCGAAGCCTTTGAGCCATGGAAACCCCTAGAAGCCTTTACCGTAGTTTGTAACAAAAGCTGCAGAGAATGTTTGTCCTAGAAGACATTTAAACCAATTCTGTGGAAAGTGCCTATTTTGTCCCTGACTCACCAGAAAGTAGTCATTGGTAATAGGCAGGTAAACAGACTTCGTAAGAAGTGTGCTCCATACAGATTCCTTTAAACACAAGCTTGTTCTCGTCCGAGAAAATGAGTAAAGAACATAATGAATGAAGCATGACGTTGTAGGAAAAAAAAAAAAAAATTCGGGTCTGTCAGCACATTTAACAGATTCGTCACATCCACTGCGGGGGTTATTATTTGGTGAGCTTTCCTTGCATACAGATTTCTAATGATTTGCTTTAGTGCTTTAGGTCAAAGAACACGATATCATGCTTTACTAATGGCATCCATGACAAATTGGGACAGCAGGTGCTGCACAAGCCAAGCAAGACTTACTAAGGATATTCACTGTGAATGGCTAAGAAACTGTCTTAAAGGCCAGTTTAGCAATGCTGAAAAGCAACACAGGTTCCCAGTAGAGAAAGGCAAAAAACCATCTGGAGGAACAAGCAAATATGTATTTGGTTAACTCCAGAACTATAGCATTTGCTTAGCTAACAAAGGAAAAGTTTAGTAACAAGTCTAGAAGTAAACAGTTTTAATTTAGACAATATATGAAGGCCCAAATCACACAAGCTAGTTATGTCACAGTTTATGAAGTTTTCAAAGGATATGAGATAACTTCCACTGGGTAACGAATAGTGGCATTAATGATAAATGGTGTATCTGTTGCTCTTCCAGTCATCCAAACAGGGTTGGGATCTGAAAATACTGTTGTCACTGAAATGGGGAAAGGAAACATCCAGGTTAAGGGATGTTAAGGTTCAGTCTTAATACAGAACTCAAATCCTCACAGAACAGCTGCCAATATGCTAATTACTGCTGCCCTGTAATTCGCAGCTATACGTTCAGGCTTACCATTTCTATCCCAATATGCTGCAACGATGTTTGTTAGATCATAGTCACTCGCAAAAGGACTTGTGCCATTCACCACAGACACCTGTTACAACAAGGAGATACTTGCATTATTTGTTCACTCTTCAAGAAAGTAATTCTACCAAGTTTCTTATGCAAAGTATCCATGCCCTTGAAGGAATACACAGAAACATCAGACTGAACATCTTGGCAGAATAACCTCTTCCACCTTTCAGCCTAACAAGAAAACACCAGTTCCAAAGTTCTAGGGTCCACTCTGGGCAGGAGTACAAATAATTAGGGTGCCACTTATGGTACTAGAAGGAGAAGGGTGGGGTGGGTGGAATCGATGGGGAAGGAAAAAAAGTTTCCTCACGTTGTATCTGGTATCCAGTCCACAATGGTTAAGTAATTGCCTCTGGTTCAATTTCAGGTCTCCATTCATATAGAGTCGAGACCCTGGCACAGGAGAAAAAAACTGAAGAAAAGCCATGGTCTGCATTACAAGTGTTGACATTCTCTGAAATGGTGAACATGAAAAAAGAGAATTTAGCGGGGGGACGACACACCACGCTTTTCTACCTCTTTGTATGTACAGATTTTCTGCATGGATTTGATTTCTTTCTGACTCTCAAGTTTCAGAGCATCACATTAGTCTAAACAAGGGAATACCAAATAAGAAATATGAATTACTTTAAGTGAACTGCTTTAGTTGTTAGTTAACTAACTTTATAAACCAAAGTTCCACCGGAAATTCAGTCAAGTCCGACAGTTTGTGGCTAATGGCAGAAAGATTTAACTTGCTATAACATGTGAAAAGCAGCAAGATCACTGAACACATTAATTGGAGACACACTTTAAAATACCCAGCAAAGCCAGCTAAGCACTCCTGCTCTGCAATAAGGAACAAAGAAGTTCCGTAGCCCTTATCAGCCACTCAATCTGAAGGAAAATCTTTACATTTACTGTAAAACAAAGGTGTTGTGAATATCGTAACTCTGTGATACTAATCACTGACCTAATACTTCAGCACAAGTTTAGGACTATCAGTCCTTTACTCTGGGTCTCATAGGTTTAAGAATGTTTTCTACACAACACAGCTATGCTTGCTAAGTTTGTCCATCTGCAATCAGCAAGAGTCTCTTGGATAAACTAAGCCTAATCTCCCTAGTAAAACAACTTCTTGTCTTTGTGGCTACATCCAACACAGCTCTAGACTATGGCTCCTTTCAGATACATCCATGAGTTCTCTGAGTACCAGTGTTTTACTCACTGCTTTAGTTAATAATTGCACTGCCACTTGAGATACAATGGCAGCAGAATTTTATTTTCCTGTCTCCCTATAACACTTTCTTCCCCCTCCCAATTAAAAGATACAGAAGATCCTGGCAAATTATTACCATTGCTTGAAGAGCTGTTAAGTAAGCAAAATCTATAGAGTTTTAGGCTGCTGCAACAGCCTACCCCTCCACCTCAGAAGACTAACTGGGTAGGTCAAGACACAGCAGTACGTAAGAATGCACATCCTTCTCCATACTGCAAGGCTCTCAGTTATTTCCTGATGCCACCTACGCTGATAGCCACTGTTGCATCTCTGTCCTGTATGCTGCACTACAGCCCAAGAGAATACACAGCTTAAAAAAAAAACCAAACAAAAAAACAACAACTAACAAAACATATGAAAATACACAATAGAGCTAGACTAGGAATGACCCAACAGAGCAGGAGAAAATTAAATATTTGTTAGTAAAATAAAACTTTTAGATAGGAATTTCCAATGTGGAAAGGTTCTTTCATCCTTTGCATAACCACTACTGGAATATTACACTGGGTCTACGCGTCACAAAAAATCAAATTCAAAATGCTCACATAAAGCTGGTAGGAAAAGAGTAGAATCAGCTGAACACCAACTACGTGCTCCGTAGGTTGTAGTGGAAGTTCCAATTTAAAATGCAACTGATCCATTTTGCCATCTTGATTTTTGTCTTCTTCTCTAGTCTAAAAGAATCAATAAGAATTTTTTTTTTCCCCAAAGATGGGAACTTCTGTTAAAAAGAAAACAAAAGGTAAAACCCCAGGGGATCTCCACAACTGCAGCACAGACATACTAAGAAAGCAAATAAACTGCATAATTAGGAAAGCAATAAAAAGCTGCTTGACTTTATAGGCACAAGACTAAGGACAAGCAAGAAGCCTGCAGTTTTGTCTGTAATAAAATGTCTCATATGCCCCCCCCCAGTAACAGAAAGCTCATCAGACTCTTCAAGGTCTCTTCTACCCTATGCCATTCGAACCATCTCCCCTGCAAGCTACAAAGCTGGATCTTCTGTCCCTTCCTGTGTGAATGTGACTGATTGTCAGGCTTTTGCCTCTTGCCATTGCAGCCTGCCTCTTAATGGTCCCTGTATGCCAATTCCTGGTTGTGAGCCAAAGCCTGCTACACTTCAGTGCCACAAATGCCTGCTTCTTCAGCTATTTTCAAGCATAACAGGACTCATGACAGAGCTAACGCAGAAAAATAACAGCCACTGTTGAATCCCAAAAGGAACAATGGCTGCAGGGCAGAGGCTATGTGCTTTAGAAAGGACATACTTGCTTTCAAAACCAGGGTCTATCTACCAACCCCTGCAAACTTCAGTTCATGATAAGCTGGGGGAGGATGGGGTAACAACTAATTTGAGGTAAGTAAGCTGATGTGTTCATGCAAACCACCAGTGACAGTCAGGGACATGATGTAGTGGTGGACTTGGTAGTGTTAGGTTAATGGTTGGACTTGATGATCTTAAGGGTCTTTTCCAACCCAAATGATTTTATGATTCTATAACACTGAGAGGGAGTAAAACTGGACTGGTTAAAAATCACTTGCCCTGAGCAAATTTTGCTGTAAGGCACGAGGTTATGCATGAAGCTGCTATGACTTGAAGGCAGCTGTGCACTTGAAGGCAGCAGCCCCACTCTAGCCCTGCTTCCCACCACCACTCCCGGGCTGACCCCAGGCAGGCCTACCGACAGGAGTGGGACTCGCAGCCGGTCCTCCTGGAGCCTGTTGAACGCCGGGAACGTGCTCCATGCCAAGAAGCTGCCCGGACCGGGCCCGACGGTGGCCACGAAGAGCACCTCATACCGGAACCGCACAGTCGGCTGCTCCAGGTATGTGCTCTGCTTCAGCCAGAAACCTGCGGGCAGAGATAGTGTGAGGCCTCAGGACCGCGCTGGGCCAGGCCGGGCCGCCTGGGGACCAGTGGCGCTCACCGTGGCTCCGGTAGGCCACCAGCAGCGGCGGCACATAGGTGAGCACCGTGATGAGCAACAGCGCCAGCGCCGCAGCGGAGCAGAGCCCGGCCCGGTAGCGCGTGTGGAGCGCGGGATGCGAGAATACCTCCACGCCAGCCATCGCGAACCGCCCGCGCCCTCACCGTGGCA